CGTCGTCGCCTCCTCGTCGGGTGTTTCGGTTGCTTCGGTTGCTTCGGTTGGTTCGGTTTCGCCGCCACTCGTTCCTCTTTGTTATCACCCTTATCGTCCTGCGGGTCCTCGTGCCTCTGCCCTGGGTCTCCCCGAACTGTTTTTTCTTCCTCCTCCTCCTCCTCCTTCTCCTCCTCCTCCTCTTCATCATCATCATCATCAACATCATCATCATCATCATCATCATCATCATCATCACCGTCATCATCAGCATCATCATCCCCGCCGCCCTTTTCACTCATTACGTGTTGTCCTTGATCTTTCATCCCTCTGTCACCATCCTCAGCAGCAGTTTCGCTGCCAATGGATGTGCGTCGATCCGACTCCGCTTAGCTTTTCCCGTTGAACAGAGGATGTGAACAGAAGGAGAAGAGGAGGATGAGGAGGAGGAAGAGGAGAGGACGGAGGAGGGAGGAGGGAATAATGAGGATGGCGGAATGTGGACCCGACATCGCCGGGCGCTGAAAGGAACCCTGGACTTCTCGACCCCTTCCCCCGTGGAAGTTCCCATGTTTGCCTTCCGCGGCCCCGGAGTTCGGAAACGGCCTCACCGAGGCCGCTGCCGCCGCGCCGTCGTCGTCGCTGCGTTGCTGCAGCGTTGCTGCCGCGGTGCTGCGGCCTCGCGGCTCCGCGGCCAGCCCCGACGGGGCCGCGACAAGAGCCCCAACAGGATCTCTGCCGCAGGTGTTGCGGGGCGCAGGGCCCGTTCACACTGGCGCGGGCCCCGCAGGGGCCGCCCCCCCCCCCGAACCGGCGCAAGGGGCTGGGGGAACGCGACCCCGACACACCCCCAAAAGGGTTCAGTTTGCGACTAAGTTTTCCTCGGGGCGACCTCGAAGCATGAAGTCCATCCAGGTCGGCCTGGCGCCTTCCCTGACACTTGGCCCCGGGAAAGCGATTTTTTCAGAGTTCGACAAATCGATTCTGGTGCGCTCAGGATTCGGGTGCCGCTCGGGGGGGATCTTGGCCGGGGAGAGTTCGGAGGGGCCCCCCACCAGAAAAAAAATTGTCGAGCTGTTTCTGAGGGTTGCGTTTGGGGCCCCCGAACTGGCATCGGACCCCCCGGGGCCGCCCCCCCCGAACCAGCGCGGGAGGCCGGGAAAACGCGACCGCGACACACACACACACACACACTCACACACACTCACACACACACACACCCAGAAAGGTTCAGTTCACGACTGAGTTTTACTTGGGACGACCTCGAAACATAAAGTCCAGGGCGGCCCGGCGCCCCCCCTGACGCTGGCCCCGGGGAAACGATTTTCTCGAGCCCGAAAAATCGATTCTGGTGTGCTCAGGATTGCGAAGGGGGACCTGGCCCCAACAGTTTGAGTGGGTCCGAAAAAGAATTTGTCGGAACGCGAAAAATCGATTTCTTGTTTGAGCTGGTTCTGACGGCGCCATTTGGGCCACAGGTGCTGCGGGTTGCATGTGGGGCCCCCGAACTGGCATCGGACCCCTCGGGGCCGCCCCCCCAACCCGGCGCGGGGGGCTTGGGAAACGCGACCGCGACATACACCCAAAAAGGTTCATTTCACGACTCTGTTTTCCTCGGGGCGACCTCGAAACATAAAGTCCAGGGCGGCCTGGCGCCCTCCCTGACGCTGGCCCTGGGGAAACGTTTTTCCGGAGTTCGAATAATCGATTCCGGCTCGCTGGGTTTTCGAGGGCCGCTCGAGGGGGTCTTGGCCCGGGTGGGTGCGGAGGGGCCCGGAAAACAATTCTTCGGAGCGCGGAAAATCGATTCCGTGTCCGAGCTGGGTTTGATGACGTCATTTGGGCTGCGGGTTGCGTTCGGGGCCCCCGAATTAGCATCGGACCCCCGAACCGGCGTCAGGGGCTGGGGAAACGTGACCCCGAGAGGAGGGAGGAGGGAGGAGGAGGAGGAGAAGGAGAAGGATAAGGAGAAGGAGGAGGAGGAGGAGGAGGAGAGGGGGGGCCCCTTTTCGATGAAGGGGGGAGGGCGGGTTTGGGCCCAAACCCGCCGTTCGAACAGCAGGGCAAACGGGTTCACCACGAGCCACTGCATATCAAGGGCCCCGTGCTTGCAACGTATTGGGATTCGTTGGCATGTGCAGTGTACGAACGTTGACATGTGGACCCTGTGTACGAACGTTGACATGTGCATATAGGTCCCGCTGAGCTGTTGACAGGTTGGCGCCAATTCCGGATGTTGCTACAATATCATAATGTTATATGAAATGTTCGTCCAAACGCTGGGTCTGTCGTAACGAAAGGTTCGTGCGCTTCTGCGCTATGCATATTTATACCCGCGGTCGCTTCGACATAAAACGCTCGGGCAACAACAAAAACAAGTCAGCGGCGTGCCGTCTAGCAGCTACAGAAAAGAGAATAGGGGGGAAGAGGAGGAGCATCTTGCAAATTGACATCAAGAGTTAATCACACGTTAATGTGAAGTTAGTATCAAGTTAATCTCAAGTTAATCGAGTCGGCATCGATTGCTAATCGTTTGTTCTATTATTTCTAATGAGATTGCGATTGGCATTGCATTCGATTAGGACGAAATACAGCGTGACATATTAGGATTCGCTGTACTGATTGCAATCCTTGGAATATGATTGCTAATTGGCCGAGGCCCGTAAAGACACTGTAAGTAGTAACCACGATTGTAATTCATTGCAATGGATCGCAATCAATTGCCAACGAATTGCAATTGATTGCAAACTGATTGCAAACGTACTGCAATTCTGACAACCCCCAGACCCATCAAGTGCTCCATACTTACCCTTGACCACCTCCAGCCCCGATGATTCGGGAGTGGTTGTGCGCCCGAGTTATCCGTGATCGCTCCGGTCCTGGGCAGTTGCGAGTTGGGCCCCCGAGGCACGGATCAGGAGGCACCCTTAGCCACCCCCAGCCCCGGTGATTCGGGGCTTTGAAGGCCACCCCCGAGGGTAGCCGAGCTGTGTGGTTCTCTGCGGCTGCTGATGGCGCTGCCTTTCGCCCGGCTTGTCGGCTCCAGCGCGCTCGGGGCTCGCGTGCTGGAGCGCAGTGGAGGGCGGCATTGTACAGCCGAGTTTGACTCGTAGGTGGGCCCTTCCTTCTGCGTCAAGGGTACCCCTGTGTCCTGCGTTTCGCGACTCGTGCTCTCTGCATTCCTGGGGGATTGTGGCCCTCGCGAGAGTGTTGTGTCCCCTCGCGCGTCTTTCCCCATCCAACTCGACCGTATGATTTCGCTGCGCTGTGCTCACGTGCGCGCCGATGGGTGCTCGGGCGCTGGCTCGGCACGGGCACGCCGTCCACTTGAGGTCCTGGCGCTTCATTTGTTCGAGCCGGGCGTTCTCGCCCGGTTTCGGGCCCAGGCCCTGGGACCCTCATGGATCGATCCAGCTCGGAAAATGCAGCAAAAGGATGGGGTCTAGGGGCGATGCGTTTATGCCTATATGCGATGTCGGATGTGTCGCGATCTTAGGGTTTCGTCGCGATCTTGCTGCGATGTTCTATGTTGTTCTAGGGTCCGTCGCGAGCCTGCCGCGGTGTGTTTGTATGTTCTGCGCGACTTCGACTCGCAGGGCAGGGGCTGGCCGGGCCCCCGAGCCCCAGCAGTGTGGCCTCCAGGGTCGGGGGACTCTTCATGGGGGGGGATCCCATGGGGGGATCGGATCCCAGGGGGGGGGATCCCATAGGATCCCCTGGGGATCCCATGGGGGGCAGGAGAAGATCCCATGGGGGGGATCCCCTCCTGCCCCCCCATGGGATCCCCCCCCATGGAGAGTCTCCCCACAGGGTAGAGTGCGGGATGCTTATCAAGCAAGACATGCTCTGCGAGTTGGGGGCATGCACGGTCTTGAAAGTCATGAGTTAGGGGAACAAGAAGTGGCATAAACATAAAAATTCGGAGGTCCGCGCGGATTTCTCGGATCGGCTCTGGACCCCCTCCCTGGCGCGCGGAGCGCGGGCGGCGCCAGAGGCGCCGCCGGGGGGCCCCAGCGCAGATCCGAGGAATCCGCGCGGACCTCCGAGTTGCTATGTTTATGTCAGTGTTTGTTCCCCTATGCACGGTCGTGAAAGTCATGAATGTGTGTGTGTGTGTGTGTGTGTGCACGTCGTTCCAGATGACAGCGTTGTCGTCGGCTTGCCAGTGCGGGCGCACGGTGCCTGCAAGCGCCGTGCTTCGGTGTCTCCTCTTCGGTTCTCGGCCGGGCAGATCGACGTCCTGATCGACCAGCTGAGCCGGGCCACCTGAGAGCTGCAGGCTGCTTGGTCTCGCCTTGCCTCTCGCGCCGACGGCGCGCGCCCGCCTGCCAGGACCTCGAGCGCGCGGGCTCCCCAGGGCGCCCGCTCGGGCGACGAGAGCTGTGCACATCCGCCGCCTGCCCGTGCCCAGCTTGGGCCCAGGAGCAGCGGTGCACACGCCCCCCCTTGGCGTGGCCGGAGGAGGAGGAGGAGGAGGGGGAGGAGGAGGAGGAGGAGGAGGAGGAGGAGGAGGAGGAGGAGGAGGAGGAGGAGGAGACGGGGGACGAGGAGACCGGGGACGACGGAGAGAGGGGAGCACAGAAGGGGCCTTCTTGGGGGGAGCGGGACACGCAGAGAGTTCGTCGCCCGGCCCGCGCGGAGCCACACGCGCGCTGGCGCAGGTCGAGCATCTCGGGCCGCGTCCGCGTGGAGAAGCGCTTCTTGCTGTCTGCGCTGCGCTTCGCTCTGCAGTGCCGTCGGAACGAGGGTTGACCTTGGAGGAGCACCCCCGTTGTTCGTCCTCCCCTGCTGCGGCCCTCCCCCTTAGACCATCCTTCGTCGGGAAATGCCCGCGGTGCCCTGGGGCCTTCGGCGAAGGAGCTCGTGTTTGTGACCCAGGCCCAGGACGTCATGATCTGTTTGTGCATAACGTGGGCCCCGAGAGGTCTGTAACCTTTTCTGGGGATCGGTTTTTCGGGGCAGGCCCCTGCGAAGCCACAAATAGCAAAAAATGCCCTGCTTCGACTGCAGGGAGATCGCTGGGGCCGCGGCAAGCTCGACTTCGCCTCGCCAGCGCACCGAGCCAGGGAAAGACGGGGTCCAAGACGTCCAGGAGCTTCGAACCTCGACCGTCGCACAGCCAAGCTACTGCCATAATGCTCGTAATCGGCTGATATTAACCAGCGCTGACCCCAAACAGCATGTTTCTATTAGAATATGCGCAGCGCGTGTGGAGCAACATATGTGGTGCAATCTACGTGGTGCAACTAATCTCGACCGTCTTGAAACTGTCCTCTCCACTGCTCGTGCAAACATCCCACCCTCCCACCCGTAACTTGGTCGCGAGACCTCTTCAGACAAGACCGTGACGGTAGGTACCACATGGCACTTGGCCACGACACCGACGCCGACGACGACAGCGACATCGACGACGACGGCGCCGCCGACACCGACTGCGACGACACCGACGACGTCTCCAATGTTTTCGACGACGACAACGACGACGACGACACCGACGACGACGACTACAACGACGCCGACGACGACGACGACGAGACGACGACGACGTCGCCAACGGAGACGACGACGAGGGAGGAGGAAAGACGACGACGGCGACAACGACGACAACGACGATGGAGGAGGGAAGACGGCGACGCCAACGACGAAGAAGGAGGAAGGACGGCGACGCCGACGACGACAACGACGAGGGAGGAGGGAAGACGACGACGACGACAACGACGACGAAGACGACGACGACGGCGACGAAATAGGAGGGACGACGACGAGACGCCGACGACGGACGACGACGACGAGGGAGGAGGATAACGACGAGGGAGGAGTGAAGACCACGACGACGACGACGACGACGACGGCGACGAAATAGGAGGGACAACGACGAGACGCCGACGAAGACAACGAGGGAGGAAGGACGACCACGGCGTCAACGACGACGGAAGCGACGACGACGCCAAGACGACGACGACGACGAGGAAACACAGAAGACGACGACGGCGAGGACGACGACGACGGCGACGAGGGAGGAGGGAGGACGACGACGACGACGACGACGACGCAAGAGCGCGCGCGCACACTTTTGTTTTTGAAGGTTTTTTGGACGCACGATTTCGGAACCCTTCCGAAACCGAAGGTTCTTGAAGGATTTCGGCATACGCCCGCGACGACGCGCGCGTGTGCACTTCGTTTCATTTTTTGCAAGGGATTCGCGAAAAAGTGCTATGTTAGAAGAAAAACAATCACCGCATAGTGCTTTTCACAAGGGAACCTCAGGGGGGGGGAAACCGGCCTGTCTGGGATGGTATGATTTCATATTTAGGATGGACGGTTGTGCAAAATATATATGAAATTATATTATCCCAGGGGGAAGCGTTAAGTCCGGGGGGGTAGAGTCTATTCTCTTGTTAGAAAGGAGCATAAATGGTATGCACTCGATATCGTGCAGGATAGGTTGTGCATCCATGTTGTACACTAGTCGTGGAGCCAGCCACGTGCTACAATATACGTTGTACAGTAGATGTTGTGCAACATATGTTGTGGAATCGATGTTGTGCAACATATGTGGTACAATATATGTGGTGCGCAGTCTATGTGGTGCAGCCGTCGTGGTGCTGCAATATGTGCGGTGCCATTTTGGTTGTGCAGTACGCGTGGGGCAACGTATTTGGTGCAATCGACGTGGTCCAACAGTTGTCTACATACAAATACATGTGTACATACATACATACATGGTGCAATCTATATATATATATATATGGTGTAATCGACGGGATGCTACCTGTAGCAAACTACGTGCAATCTATGTTGTGCCAGCTGGCATGCCGAACTTGCAGTTGTCACCTCCACTGCTCGCACAATCATCCTCCCCACTCACCCGCAATTTGGTTTGCAAAACCCATGCGGCGGCGATTGGGATGACTGCTTGACGCTGGTTGGCGCATCGCTGCGGTTGCGCTAGCGCGCGCAGGCTTGCGCGCAGAGCGGCCAGCTAGTTTCTGGCGCGACCCAAGCGCCCGCGGGGGCGTTGATCGTTGGGGACTCCCCACTGCGTCTCGCAGGCCGCGCTGACGCGCAAGCGCTTCAATGCGAGTCGGTGGTTCGGGCAGCTGCGGTATCATGGCGACGTCGACAAAGGCAGGCACAATGATGATGATGGCGCTGACGACGGTGATGATGATGATGATGATGATGATGATGATGATGATGATGATGATGATGATGATGATGCTGCTGCTGCTGCTGCTGCTGCTGCTGCTGATGATGATGATGATGATGATGATGATGATGATGTAGATGATGATGGTGATGTTGATGATGACGATGATGGCTATGATGACGAGGGTGATGCCGATGAGGGTAACGATGGCGATGACGACGGCAAAACCAATGACGGCGCCAGTGTTGATCACGCCGATGACGATGATGGTGTCCACGCGTCGGTGATGAAGGTTCGGGGCAGATTTCTACATGCGCGCGCGGCCGACGGGCGCGATATCATTTGGCAGGGGTACCCCCCAGCACGCGCGCAACGGCGTTCGAATGATTCCAGTACGTGGAAGACCAACAGTTGTGTGAAGAGTTTGCAGGAGCGCGCGTGTATGTTTTTTTGAAAAGTCACGCCGCTCGGATCCCCAGCCTCGCAACTAGTTCTCGTTTTGCTCCTTCCCTCCTCTTGCTCCGGCTGCCATCTGGCGAGGGGGGGGGGTCGAAAACGCGGTGCGACGACACTGCGGGGGGGGGTGCAGCTCCCTCGCAAGCGCAGGTGAAGCGTAGAGTGGTAGCGTAGGGTGCAAGGTTTGTGCGGAAGAGGGATTGCAGCCCCCTGCACCCGGGGCGCGATGCCCCGGGCGACTCTCTGCTTACAGCTGGTGGGAGTCGGGCGGGGCGCCAGCGCCCAGCACGCGGGAACCCCCAACAAAGGAGCGAAACCCTTCGCCAGGGTGACCTCTTGGTGCGGGCCCACTGGGGCCCCCCGACCGCCGACTGCGCTGCGACAGGAGCGCCCCGCGCGCTCGAGGTCGGCACCCCGCGGACCCCGAGAAGCCGCGCACCAGAGGTCGCTCGTATCCAGGGCCACTTGTTGCGCGTAGACGGAAAAATCCCCACCCCCCTTGGGCCCAGGCGCCGCCGCCAGGGCCGCCACAGGGGTGGTCGGCGCGCCCAACCTCCCCGGGGCGCTCGGGGAAGCGGGGCGGGGCGGCATCGAGGCCGCAGCTGGCGTCAATCACATCGGGAGAAGAGAACTATGCACATGCACCGATCCTGGCAAGGCCCATCCTTGACCCAGGATCGGTGCATATGCCTTCCTGGCCAAGGTAGGAGGGCGTATGCACCGATCCTGGGCTCAGGATGGGCCTGGCCAGAATCGGTGTATGTGCATAGTTCTTTTTCCTCTATCACAGCGAGCGAGGTACAGCGCGAACAACTGCCCGATGACGGGGGGAGGGAGCTACCCTTCAGTCGAACCTGTCCCTCTACAGGGGGACTAGTTTTGCTTAAGTTAGGAAATAGTATGGGGACAATGTGTTGAATATTGTTTGACTATTTTGGAAATGTTGGGGGTATTTTTCATTTTTCGTCGAAAATCACCTTGTAGGGGGACACGCCCGACTTACAGCTACCCCCCCCCGCCCGCGACCGTGGAGGAGGAGGATTCCGGGTCGGAGGAGGAGGACAACTTTTTGAAGGCTGAGGGGCCGGAGGTCCCCGACGAGGGCCTGGATGGCCAGAACGGGCAGCCCCTGGAGGGGCCCGAAGAGGAGACTGCGGCCATCCCGCCCGCGCGGCACAGGGAGGAGCCCGCGCTCTCGCGCCCGAGCGAGCGTCGACTGCAGAGCACGCCGCCCCGGGCGCATCCCCAGCCAGAGGTGGGATCGGCTGGGCCCCAGGTTTCGGAGGGACCGGGGAGGGGCGGGGCCGTCGGCGGGGGGCCCTTGTCGCCCGAGCGCCAAGAGGCGACCTCGTGGGCCCGGGAGAGATTCGGAAGCCCTCCTGGACCACCTCTGCGCAGGACTCGCCCAGCTTTCAGTCGGGCCTGCCCCTCTGCAGGGGGAACATTCAAAAATAGTCAAAACATAGTCTGGGAACGATTTTCTGATTCTTTGACTATTCTGGAGTATTTCTGGGGATTTTTGGATTTTTTTCGTCCAAAATTCCCCTGTAGGGGGACATGCCCGATCTAAAACCAGCTGCTGGGGCCTCTCGTCTGGGTCAGCCTGAGCGCGGCGAGAGGCAGTCGGGGCGGACGGGCTCCCGCCCGGGCGCTAGTTGCCGAGGGGATCGATCGGGGGCGAGTGGAGGTCCTCGTGCGGAGGGGCCCCCGGGGCCGAATGTCCACGACCCGCTATTACACCGCACGGCGATCCGGGGGCGGGGCCATCTCCTGAAGCCAGACCATCTGGTCGCCGTGATCGACGGCACGTGGGCGCGGCTGGCGATGGGGGACCGCGCCCAGACCCCCCTGCGGCCGGCCCTCTACAGGGGGAGTATTCAAAAATTGTCAAAAACATAGTCTGGGGACGATTTTCTGATTCTTTGACTACTCTGGAGCATTTCTGGGGAATTTTTGAGTTTTCGTCCAAAATTCCCCTGTAGGGGGACATGCCTGATCTAAAACCAGCTACCGGGGCCTCTCGTCTGTGTCTCAGCCTGAACGCGGCGAGGCATTCGGGGCGGACGGGCTCCGCCCGGGCGCCAGTTGCCGAGGGGACCGCTCGGGGGCGAGGTCCTCATTGGCTCGGGAGCCCTTGAGACGGGGGTCAATGCAGACGGGGGTCAGCCAGGGCGCCAGATCCTGCAGGATCCTGCGAAGACCCCCTCTGGCTGACC